AAAAAAAAAAAATCATACTAGTTTGTTTGAAGAGCTGATGATTCATTAAATCACCTCGGTTGGTGATTGGCTAATGGTTACACAAGCCAATAAATCGTTATGACATCATAAAGTATCCAAAATCTGATCAGCTCATTTTCAGACAGGTTTTTATATAAATGGATCAGGACAAAAAGAGAGAATCTTTTTTTCCTGAAACTGTCAGAATCTCGTCACACAGAGGACACATGTTGATATAGAAAAGATGTGAAAACGTGGATTTTGCATAATAGGTGACCTTTAATGTTATGTTATTATTTAGGGTTTTTGGGAATGTTTTGCCCTAATAGTGTTATATATAAATGTTATATATATTTGTATACTTTATTTAAGTTTACATTTTTTATTCATATTTGTTTCTTACATATTTTTGATTAGAGTTATTGGTGGGAACCTGAGATCTGACGACAAAAAATTGTTCACTTTTTTTTATCACATTTTTTATGCTTTTGCACCACATTTGAATTTGAAGATAATTATGGGCGGATTCATTTCCATTAAAACAAGTTGCAGCTATATTTGTTTGTTATTAGAATTAGATATTGTATAAATACATTTTATGTCAATAAATATATGTATTCATCGTTGATGTCATTTCATTTCTTTCCAGAATGATCCGCAGATCTCCTCAGGGTGCGACGTGATGGACATGACTTCACCTCGTCTGTTTTATAACATAAATTAACGTGAGTGTGTTTATTTAGACCAGGGGCCATGTTCGGATTTCTTTTTTATGGGATGTTTCTATAATTTGTTCTGTCTCTTTGACATGGACAGTTACACCAACTGGACACAAATAGAGTGTGTGAATGGATATTTATTCCTCATCACATAAACAAATAATAATGATATGTGTTAGAGTTTAAGTGAGTTTTATTTATTTGTTGTACATATCATAATATCTTTATATAAGGCCACTCCTTTTCTTTCTACAGTTTTTGTACTACTTTTTCATTCCTGTCCGTGCTTCACGCAACAAAACTCTATTTATTTTCATCAAGCTGCATGCACACTTGATGTTTGCTACAATGGACTTCTTAATTATATTTCATCTGTTTTTATTTAAATATCTTTGTAGACTTTTAGCTTATATGTTCTAAGTTAATGAAAAGCTGCACTAAGAAAGATTTAGATTTAAAATGATGGAATTCTTCCTTAAATCTCGAAAAAGGCATCCTTTCCCCTCTACAAGCATTACGTTATTTTTTTTATAAGTTAAAGGGTTAGTTCAAAGAAATCACAAAACAGTTAAAAATGACTTACAGTGTACTCCAAAGTTGTCTAAAAAATAACAATTGGTATCAGAGCTGAAACGAAAAGTTTAAAGAAAATAATAATGATCATAAAAATAAAAAACTCTTAGAGGGGACCTATCATGCAAAATGCACTTTTTGATGTCTTTTATACATAAAGATGTGTCCCCGGTGTGTCAGGGAACTCACGCAGCGTCAGAAAATAAAACCCTCTCTCTTTTCCTCCGTACCCAAATCTCTAAAAACTGTTTTGGACGTAATATGGTCGGTGTTTACATTAGCATCGCTAACACTCAGAGCTAACCTGTACTGGAGAGCATGTGTGTGAAGAAGCAGGGGAAAAAAAGGAACTCACCTTGTGGTATAACCGGCAAGAGAGAAAGCCCTTGAGCTCCATACTGTTTCAGACATAATCTTGATAATCCATGATATGGCGTTTCATCACCGGAGTGTTTAGTTTAGACAGTAGCTGCTGGGTCCCGCATGAGCTCAGCCGCCTCCTTTTTTATTTTGTATCAATTATTTTTTTTTTTTAAATCTTTATACCCAAAATCATCACTTTTGAAACAGGAAGGGAAATAGAGGGATATGAGGCATGGCT